TCGCCATCCTTCCGCCCCTCCCTCCCGTCTGTCAATCTATCCATCCCTCTGCCCCTTCGTTGGTCCCTCTGTTCCTCTGCCTGGCCCTTCATCCCTAGGTCCGTCTCCCACTGTCCATTCATCCGTCTGTATCCCTGCCCATGCATCTGCCAACTCCTCCCTCCTTGTGTCCCCCTACATACATGCTTCTCTCCATCTATCAATCTGTTGAGACAGCAGTACCTCCATCCTTTCACCAACTAACAGACTGACCCACTCATCCACCCAATCCACCAACCAACCGGCCGAAGAGACACGCTGGTCAACCAACCAGCACATCCAACACAAGCAACATACTGTCCGGCCCAAGAGCCCATCCACTGCACCACAGCAGCCCACTCTCCCATCAACTAACCAACCTACCCACCACCAAGCCACTCACCCCAACAATCCAGCAATACACCAACCCACCAATGTTGAACGCATGCTTGTGGGACATGCCAGTGTCTGAATAGGGATACTCTGGGAAGTTGAGGCTGTGTCTGATCACATAGGTAAGGGGTTAGTATGATTTTCAAAGAAGCAAAGCCTGTCAGCCAGTTACCCAAATACCGGACTCATCCAGTAGGTGGGTGGTCCTTTAGGCAGTCTAGGGGTTGTTCTGGGCATCCATGTGTCATTTTGCTTACGAGTCCTTCCCACTTTTATGAGAGGTTTTTGCGAGAGAATGCACGCAAGTGAGTCTCGCCATTTTTCATACTCTCTCTTCCCTCCTGGGTGGCCCTTCGGCAGTCAGGGGGTGGTTCAGGGCAATAGATTAATCATCCATATGATATGGTATATAATACTATATATCTATTATATCATCATTTTGCTTACTTCCGAGGCCCTCCCAGGGTAGTGTGACACAGGGACCCGGCTGATCTTCTCGGCATCGTTCCAATTTTAAGGGATCTCCTGAAGGACAGTCCCTCCCATCTTTATAAGAGGTAATTGAGAGAGAATGCACGGAGTGAGTTTCACACTTCTCAGACTCCTTGTCCTTCCCTCTTGGTGCGGCATGAGTTCGCATCCATCTGAGGGACACATATTACCTCTTTTTTTTTTTGGGGGGGGGGAGGGGCAGATTCTAGACCATTTTTTCTCCATTTATGCGTGTCATCCTAGCGCAGGAGCCATGCTAATCTTCTCTGTATCGTTCCAATTTTAACGGATGTCCCGAAGGACATATCACCTCAATTTCTTGTTTGGCTGTGCAACCAAAAAAAAACACAGTAAAAACAAGAAATTCAGGTAGCACCGATAGTTGTTACACCCACACACTTGAAATACAGACCCAAGTTCGAATCCAGATAAGACGAATGTGTAATGACCCGCCAAAACACAGACTGAGAACACTGTTGATTTCTGTGTTTGGCCGCTGGAATGAATGCCTTGCTGAGATTCCCGCATTCTGCTGAGTTTTCTAAGTCTGTGTGTGTGCATGCCTGTCTGAGTGTGTGTTGGGCTGAGTGTGTGTGTGACCCGCAAGGGTACTTGTTCGTTTGGAGCGGTACTTACCTGTGGCCGTGACTTTGAGGGTTGCAGCGGGGAAAAACACTCGAGTAGCGGGGGTAGGCCCGCGACACTTATGAAACGGTAATCACCAGTTCGCAGTAGCGAATGCAGATCCCAGGGCTCGATCCCTAGTTCCCTATCTTACCTGTGTACAGTATTAATGTCAACCCGTAGACTCGAACCCGCGACCTGTAGGATCGCCAGTGGTAGGCAGGGTTTCGTAGGTCACAGCTTAGAAGGG